CCGAAGTCGAGATGATGATGTAGTAGCCGGAGAAATGCTGGCGTGACTGGCTGCTTTTTCTCCACTGGGTCCGAGTGTCTCCTAATTCCTCGCAATAGAACGTTGAGATCGGGGACCATGCTTGACTTCCACTCCGCACGAGGCGGACAAAGTCTGCCAATGAGAGGGCGGAGGCGATAGCGAGATTGGTATGGAGCGCGACCATGTTGTCATCGATTCCCGTCGTAAGCTCCTCATCCAGCGACTTCAGGGGCTTTACGCCGTATTTTGCTGCAGTCGTCGCCACTTCTTTCGCGGTCTCCGTCCTACAATACGCACTAAGTGTCTCCAAATTGGTCATGTATTTGTTGTGTGTCGCAGTCATCCGCTCGCGTACAGCATTTTCGTTTGATTCTAGACTAGCTGCAGTTGGACACAGTGGAGAAGTGTGCAAAGGTACGCCGAAGACCCTTCCACGTCAGAGGTCGACGAACTCCGGTGCGAGTCCGCCGAAGTGGGTCTCAATATGGGTCTTGGCTTCTGGAGAAAGTGACTTGGGCCGAAAATGTGCGCGGTACTTGGAAAAGCACTTTGCTGGGACACCGTTTCCATTGCACCCAGTTTTTGACAGGTACTTGAGGCACAGCTCGAGCAATCCTTGCTTCGGCAAAGTGCGCGCCAGGCTCTTGGGTACTCCACTACTTTCTTTGGTCGACCGAGACTATCGCGGTCGGCTATGCATCGAAGTGGTCGCGTGTTGTTGCGCTTTCAGCATAGCCTCCAGCTCGATCACTTTTTTTTTGTAGATCATAGAGCAGTTCCGTTAGTAGCGAGTCGTGAAGGGAGAGCTCGTCTTTGACTAGGATTGCTACCGCCAGGCCGTCAGAGATGACCAGACCACGAAACTTGCTCACCTTCATATTGATCCATAGCAGCAGGCGCTTCGTTGTTTCTCTGTCCGGTTCATTTTCGTCAGTAAAATCCTCAATAAACTTGACAGCAGCATTCAGAACGTCCATAGTGTCTGCGTTGTAAAACTTCCTTCCGAATCGACGGAGATTAGTAAGTGCATCCATGAACACTGTCTACGAAGGGTCGGTTGTGGCTGATTGGAGGCCGTTCTTCCTGGAAAAATCTGTCATATTGATCACGGAACCGGACGCATCCAGCGGTGTCGCTCGCCGTACGCGCTCAAAGTGCATGACGGAGAGGCCGCGAACATGAAATCCGAAATCAAATGCCCCGCGTAAAACGGGCGAAGCCTCTCGGATGCGAGATTCACGGGCCTGCGTACATTCAAGAATACATTGAGCGTCCTTACCTTGGTTGTCGGTGTGGCCAATGACGTTGTAGATCTGCTGCTTAAGTGTCGTTGGGCGAAACGTCGTGGCCGAGCGCCCGCGCGCCTCCTTCATTGCCAACATTGATGCTGTCCCGCCTCCGTTAGTGACGGTACCACCGGCGGGCACCGCATCGTGGGTCAATGCACGGTTCTGCTGCAGCACGGCGAGTACGTCGGCATCGTCTTCATCACCTGCCTCCGACGACGTTGACACACCCATGGGCGTCTCCCCTAGCTCCGAAGCGTCTGCACTTGCCTGGGCTTCCAGCGTCCTGCGTCGCGTGACTGGCCGCTTGTCTTGTACGTCCACGTCTGGGGATTTGCGCTTTTGCGCGACATTTGAGCCTGGACCGAGCCGGTACTACCGGCTGGGGGTTCGAACATGCTGGCACCTTTTTTACTCTTTTTGCTACGCGCACAATCTAGAACGTGCTGTCGTAGGACAGACACGACAGCCAGTGTGTCAGCTCGTAGGACAGGTACCAGGGCATCTCCCTCAAACGGAATACAGTGCTCAGGAGCTTTGGCGGCAGAGCTCCACGGCTCTTCCCCCACTGAGCGCACGCTTCGTCCGTCAGTACTAGAAGCTCTTCCGCGTTGGTGGTGGAGGCGTTGGTTGCTTCCCGCTCCGGTCTGCAGAACGTAGTTGATCCAGTCCACCTTGATGACATTAGGCGGCTGCTCTAACTTGATTTTCTTTGCATCCTCTTTGCACCGAATGTGAAGCCACGGCTGGTGTTTGAACATGTGGT